GAGGTAAAACTGTCTCTCAAGAAGCTGACTACCTTTACTTCCTTGTCTAGCTCTGAATCCTACCCTGATATATCTTAAACATGTCAGTTTAATGAACAGTTTATGTTTGCAAACGCTATGGACATGCATTACATTCTAACAGCTTTGAAAAGGGCAGGCTACCAGTCCTCTTGAAAAGAAAGCTCAAAGGGCAAACAAGTGTCTTCTGTAAAGTTCTGATCTAAAATAAAAAAAAAAAAAAAAATCAGGAAAGTCTTTAAAGGAATCAGGATTTCCCATGAAATCGTTCTAGTTTCAATGATGAATACTGGAACACAAACATTCCTGATAATGCCATTAACATCCTTTTAGCGATTTTCAACTTCTTCACTTGAGAGTTGTTGCCTGACATCGCTTGTTCATCTGCTTAGGTCATCTGTTCCTCACCATGGCAACTGGGAAATACTGTACATCGGTGGTCTGAAGAATAAATGTATTTATTGTCCTTGCTGTGTTCTGTTGGGTGAGGGTTGTCTTACATCATGGAAACAGCAGGGTCTGTAACCAACCTTCTTTCTGTGTGAGTAGAAGTTTCCCAATCATACCTCATCATCATTCAAAATAGCATTTGTGTCCCTCTTCTCATAGTCTCTCTCTTGCTGCTAGTTTCATCATTTCTAAAGGACGTTAGCCTGAGCCAAAGGGAAAGCTTTTCCTTGAGCTACTAGCCTGCTTTGCTGGGAGATTAAAGGCTAAAATCTTGACCTTCTTGGTTTTAATCCATATTAACATAGTAGAGGGAATTTTGGACTCAGGGTCTGTGATTTTATTCCTGCAAGGAATAAAATAAGCCCTCTTAGAGATTACAGCATATGTGTTTGCTTGGCCAAATCAACTCATGGTGGAATATAGTGTTTGCAGTTGTTTAGTTAAGAAGATCTAAGCTAACTGAAATAAATTGCTCACTTGGAATTGCTTAAGTGGCTTGACACCCCCATTTATCTGCCGTGAGGCTATAGCTCAGAGACTGGAGGAGATTTAAAGGCTACAGAGAATTGAGTTAATTTTATGGACCTTGTTTTGATTTAGAGAACCAATACAAATAATATTGTACCTTCTTTATGCTTACTATAAGCTCTTTTAAAAATGTATGAAAGCAAAGCTCCATTCTGCCATAACGAGACATAACACACTCTGGCTATATAAAAATGATACATTGAAATATTTTCTTCAGAAAATAGCTTCTGAAAAATGTAGACTTTAAGACCATTGCTATTATACTTTTCATAAAATTTCCAATTAAACATTAAATTACATGTATATATTTATTTGAAGCAAACAGGTCTTTCAAACTTTGTTTTTACTTTGAGATTTTTCTAGCTGCTGGGATAAGCCTATTTTATTAGAGCTTATTTTCAATGAGCTCTTTATCAGATCTGCAGCTAGCTTGTAACCCCTAGGGGTTCAAATACAAGTAGACAAATCTCTTCAAGGTTTGCTTGAAACGTCTTAAAAGCTTACTATTATTTTCCTGTAAGACTCAGGTCAGAACTAATTTTGAAGAGACCTTTTAAACTGCTGATACTGTAACACCCCAGGTAAGAAGTGAAGTGGAAGTGGAGGAAATATGATAATTTGAGCTGAGGGAGACAAGCTGCAAAAACAATTCTTTGAGCAAAGGAAGAAAAAAAAAAGCTGTTCAAAACACCTTTTCGGTAACATTTTCAGTAATACTTTCTGTTTCTTTAACAATATATTTCAGTATTTTGAACTCTTTTTTTTTTTTTTTTTTAAATCTTGTTATTAACACTTATTTCATGCTCCAGGCAGAACAGAAGGTGGCAAGAATCTTTTGATTGTTTTTGGCTTAATACATTTGGCAGGTTGATGCTGCAGATAATCACTACACGACTCTTTCTTGCTTTTGGAATAGGATTGATAACTGGACAAGACCTGATTCCTTGTTTACCAGTCCTCATGTAACATGGTCCACACATCCCCGACATGCCTCCCAAATAACACAGTAAAGGTCAGCTGAATCAGTTCTCAACTTACACCACTGCCTTGAGCTCAGTGTCAGGGCCAGTGGCACCTGGGAGGTGTGAAATTGGGGCATTTCGAGTTGAATCGTGTCCTTAGAATGCTGCTGCCATCCAAAGACACAAGCTGGTATTGCTGTACTGCTGCGTACGCAGGAATCTGCTGCCGGTAGTTTTGGAAAGAAATAGGAAGGCAGACATGTCATCATTCCTCAAGTTCCACTTTTTCTGATAAGGCTCTAAAAAGAGAAGCATTTCTTTTTCCTTTTTTTTTTTTCTTTTAAAACCCCTCCCCACTTTCATAAGAAATAACTGGTTTCAAAATTATGAAATATAGCATTCCCCCTGTCTCATGAAAACATCTATTTTCTATGATGTGATCATCAGGCTGTGCTGCAGAGCACAGTCTTTGTTCCTTGCCCTTCCCATGTCTTCCTGCAAAGGATCTTGCTAATTTTTCATGCCAAACACCTCAGCAAATTCTTCTTTGTTTGGAGTACTTAAACGGCAATCAAGTATTTTTCTAAAACAATCTGCTCTAGATCAGCAGATTAGATAGGGTCCAATTCACACTTCTTACTTTTCCTGGCATGATCATTCATACTGAAGAGATAACTTTCATAGCTTCACTAAGGAGAAATCAAGAGACAACATTATACTGCTGTGATTATAGCAACGTTTACTTTAGCATAGGCTTGTAGGGGCAGGATGAGTCATTATCCAAACTGAGGAAAAATCCTATGAACACTAATGTCTCGTTTAATCTACTTTACGTATTACCTTTCTAAGCACTGCTGGTCAATGCATTAGAATACAATTCTTCTGAGCGATTACAATCCCTTTTTTCATACTTCTTCCAGCAACTATTAATATATAACTATAGTTATATTACTGTTACAACTTCATTGTACATTTCACAGTTAACCAAAACTAGGTCTTACAAACAGTCTAGTGTTACAATTTATAAAAAATGGCATGCCTTTATTTTTCTTTTTAACAACAAACACAGTCGTCAGTACAGTGAACTTTATATCTCGGCATATCTACAGTACAGCTTGATTACCACAAAGAAAGTTCCAAGATCTAAATTTGCCCCATTTTTCTGCAAAGCCCAACCATTTCAGTGAGGTCTACAAAGCAGTTTAGAAGTAGTTTATCTTTCTGTAAGAAGGGTTGCATTAATTTTTTTGCCTTTGTTAAGTTCTTTCTAACAGTCTCTCTCATATTAACATCTAGCCAGTTATTCTGTCATATTAAGCGAAAGATTCCTTCATTATCCCATCTAGTAGCTACTGAGTGCTTCAACCTATTTGTGATTTCCATCTACGTGTTTGTTCTTCTGTGAAATTATGCAGGCTATTACTATTTGGACATAATTAATCCTACTTCCACTCTTTGGTGGGCAGTTCCACAGGTTAATTGTGCTATTATACAATTATGCTTCAATACTTGTGAAATAGTGCTTGTTTCAGCTGTAATTTGGCTTATGTTATCACCCCTTTTTCTATATTAACCTTCTTGTCACCACTTCCACTTTTCCATGGTTTAAAATTCACTCTTGTGTATGATCTGACAATACTTGAATGTGGGAGTTTTGCCAGCACTGAGTAGTGAACTCCAGTGTGCTCTGCTGCTTTTCAATCCTCACTCATCACCACCAAAACTGGTACTAAAAGACAAACAGAAACTTTCCCTGTTTCATTACGTTCAGTCTCATAACCAGACCACTTCATTTTATCGTATTAACCTTAACGATGCCACTAGCTTACATTATTTTTACTATTGCTGCAGGGTCTGCAATTTAATACAACCTAGTTGACATTTATTTTGGTTGTCAGACTAGGAATAAAACTTTCCCTCCACAGAGTTTATATTAGGTTCCAACATCGGGAAGCAAATGGGGCTATATGTTCACCTAGTCTGAGATACAGTTTGAGGCCACTTTCTTTTGGAGCAGAAAGTAAGGAAATTGCTTTGCTTGGGGAATTGCTGGACACCTGGAAGTCATAAAGCTTCTTCTGGTTAATTTACCCACAAATCTAAAACTGTCATAAAGCTTAAATCCATGAATGAAGGTGGACAATGTTGATGACACACCTGGGAAGTCTGTATGGAGAGAGCTGGTGAAAGTGATGCTCAATGCTGGTATGTTCTCAATAATAATGAAATTGAGACTGTGACAAAGTCAAACCTCGTGCTTCTGAATCACCTGAGCATCCCAACTAACTTAAGGAACTTAAGGACACCGCCCTGGCCAAAATCATCCTATGAATGGATACCATGTTTTTTCGTTCTGGACACTTCACTCAGAATTTGGTCCTCCTACTTTGCAGGGAATTAAATTACTTTGCTCTTCTCACTCTATCTGAGTCCTGTAGCAAAACCAGGAGGAAACAGTTCCATCTTCAAATAACTCAATGAATAAGAAAAACATTAATGGCTGCAGCTTCCATGCCACCTGGGGATTTAGTCACAAAGCTCCTATCAGCTTCAGGATTTAAATGCCTCGTACCTTCTTTGAAAATATGCCTCAAAGATTTTACTGCAAAGGCAAAACACAAAGGTAGCAAAGAAATTCAGAGTGAAAGTGGAAATTCCCTTCCTCGTGTGTATTGCTGGAGTCTTCAAAATACAGCTAATCTTGTACATCATAAAATGTAATAACCAGATATGACAGGTGATTTTAAAAGGAGAGAGAAGACAACAGATGAGCTTTCCATTTGCAGTGTGCTGCTTAGAGATGTATATACTGACATTAAAACAAAACCTCCTCAGATGAAGAGTGCCACAGCCCCAGTGATATCAGCAGTGCCCCAGCAATGAAGCTTGCTGGGAATGTGCTCTATGACTCTGAGCAAACACTAGGGCAGCATAGGGAGCGTGAATTAGAGGTATCAGAGCAGCTGCACAGCTGAGGGAGAAAACTGTACTTAAATGAGATTGACTGAACAGTTGTAGCTTAAAGGTGGGAGCTGAATTTACCTCCCCGCAGGTCCTTTTTCTTCATCTTGTCAAAATTTGCATTCTCCCTAAGTGACTCTATGTGAAACCTAACTAAGTGGCCAGCCCCACAGTAAGTGCTTACCAGACAGAAGGTATCACTGGCTTGGACGTGAGCTGGCAGGATGAGACAGAATGAGAGGAAAAGCACTGAGGACACCCAGGCCCTCCCCTGCTTCCAGCATGCTGTCTGTGGCAAGCCATATAGAGTGTCATCCATCTCACCTTATTTTATCTATTGAAAATATATTTATCAGCCTAAAATGGTCACCAAGATACATCAAAGGAGAGAGAAAATAGGTCTTTCCTTTCCTATCTTTGGTGTTTATGTCTAGGTGAGACAGTACTGGAAACTGTTTCATACTTTAGAGCTGTAGAGTGTGATGAGGTCTCCCCTCAGCCTCCTTTTCTCCAGATTAAACAACCCCAGCTCCCTCAGCCGCTCCTCATAAGACTTGTTCTCCAGACCCCTCACCAGCCTCGTTGCCCTTCTCTGGACACGCTCCAACATCTCAACATCCTTCTTGTAGTGAGGGGCCCAAAACTGAACAAAAGATACATCAAAGGAGAGAGAAAATAGGTCTTTCCTTTCCTATCTTTGGTGTTTATGTCTAGGTGAGACAGTACTGGAAACTGTTTCATACTTTAGATATACCACATGTAAGCTGTTCTGTCCATGCATGAAATCAGTGAGAAAAATATAGTATATACATATGTTTAACTAATCTCATTTCAGATATGGTTTTAGGCATGTAAACTTTTAAAATTAGAGTTTGGAAAAATGATCTATTTTAGGGGAAGAAGGTTCTGTCCTTTTATTCTGTTTCCTTTTTTTTAGGTTCAAGTCATTTGAATTTTTGAATCAAGTCATTTTTGAATCCAGCTGCCTTCAACACAAGCCTGTAAAATCTGTCTTCAACACAAGCTTGTAAAATGCTTTTATGTTGGTAGCTTTCTTGCATCTTATGACATTCTGCATTTTTTCTTTTAAAGAAATCAGAATCAAGATTCAACATGCTATTATTTTTAACGGCAATTACAGAGACAGATTTTATAACCCTTCTGAGTGCAGAGCAAAGCCAGGAAACAGTCAAGATCAGGACATGGAGGTATGGAAATTGAAAGGTAAGTAAACAGAACTTAGGTTATTACACTTATGTTTTTTTCATTGTTTTCCAAACTAGTCTCAAGACGTTTTAAGGAATCTGACTGAATTTTTGATATTTCATATCAGAGATGATGAAAATAAAGCTCAAGATTTGTGTTTTCTAGGACGAAGAATGGTAACTTCACATCAGTGGAATATAAAGTCCAAATTTTCTGCTAAGACAAAGAAAAAAAATGTTTGTAGACATGAGAAATTTTTGACATATTGATCAAAGTCTATCCCAAGCAAGAAAGACTCTGCTCTAATAAGTTTTATTTTACATTCCTCATTTCATTTGTCTCCCTCTGTGAGCCCAGTGTGATGATCAAAAATCAAAGTCACATGTTAATTCTGTTAAATATCTACTATGACAAATGACAAGAGATTGTCAGGAGGACTTTGTCGATGATTATGTTCACACAAGAGGGTAGTTCAAAAGCTGGAAGGCTGAGACCACATCAATCAAAAAGGAAAAAATAATCTTCCTCATCATGATCGCAAATAAAACTGGAACTGTTTACAGGAGAATATAGGAGATGTTTCTATCACTCAGCATCTTTAGTTTAAGACTTCATATACTTTTTGGAAAGATGTTCTTTAGATGAGATACACGTTGCTGACCTCAGGGTTAACCCTGTGTCTGGGAAGTGAGACTGGATGGGCACAAGAGGGGGTCCCATTCAACTATAGCAGCTGATGAGTTCAGGACTATCTGCACAGTGACTCCACTAAATGTCATCATGTAAACATGACCTTATACTCTAGATGTACACATGTGTGGGTCCATGTGTACAGAGGTAAAAAGCACTCTTCCTGTTTACTGGAACACATCAGGGTGTGGTTTGACATACAGGTTTTATTACCTAGCCCTTGGTTATCTACTGTTTGAATGACTGTTTTCAGTAATTCATGTAACAACTTTTATACAGGGTAGTGTTAAGGAAGCTAAGATTTTCTTTTTTTAGTAGTGCATTAGAGTCCGATATACATTGCACATGACACCTCACAAAATATGAGCATATAACATATTCCTTTAATATATGTGACCAGTGGAAGTACCACAATATGTATTGACTATGGCAGCATTAATATATTCTTCATAGAGAACATTTAAAAGCAGGGTTTAGAAATATGATCGCATTTAGTACTCTTTTTGGTGTGAGTTTGAGTTGCTCTGTGTTCAGTAGACTGCAGCTCAGGTTTCCCTTTTATGTTTCTCTGCTCTTTTAACTATTCCAAGACTGAATGTAAATCAGTGATCCTCAGCAATATGTGAATCCTTTCGCACTTAGGAATGAAGACAAATAAACACCCTTTTTTTGCATAAGGGTGGATACCTTAACAATATTTACAAATGGAAAACACCAGAGGGTAGCATTTATTTATTTTCCAAGATATTTGGAAACAGTAGAACAACCTGGCTGCTGAATCCAGAAGGTTGTCAGTGAACATTTAAATTCCTCTCTGTCAAATGTAGTCTATTCCAGCATATTTCTATTGGCGAGTACCTGAGAAAGCTGAGGCTCAGATCGTATGGGCTATCAGGACAAGACTGAGAAGTGTAATACTGTTAAGGAAACGAAAGATAAGCGCTACACTGGCAAGCTTTGCTTCTCCAGCAGTTCTGAATTATTAACACCACAAAACAGAAGCAATGAAATCTTGAGAGTCACTTTGTAGGGCTGAAATGAATAATTTAGGAAAGGTACTGTCTGCTGTCTCCTTGTTATTAAAGAGGCAATTGGAAATGACTGAAAATGACTGAAAGCAACAAAGCAAAGTCTGTTGAAATAGCACCTTTGCACAGCTTTGGGCTTCTTTGCTTGAGCTGGGGTGTGCTGTTATATTTAACTACAGGAGAAAATTTCTCTAGCACCTAATCTGAGTGCTTGGTCGGATACTTATCTATCTGTATTGATAGAATTGTCTTCTGTCAAACAACAGACCTAAAAGTTTCTTGTACAAGCTGATATGTTGGTGATGTTTACTGTTTTAATAACACAAGCCATGAGCCAAGGTTTTCAATTATAGGGTTCTGTAGTTCAAACTCTAAATTTAGTGTTAGTTAATTTTTTCCCCTAGTTTTCAGATTTACTTGTTAGGTAATAAAGCAATCTAATTCATTTGCATTACTCTCCATTCATACTCCGTATAATCTCAATTTCAAGCACATATGACGTGGCTGTGAAAAATTGCTATTAGCCAGATTTCTTCACTGGATATGCACACAGTGTGAGATACGATAGTTTTTTTGCTACAGCCATTTCTGTCAGGAAACCAGGATTAATTCTGTGAGATGAGTTGAACTGATAGCCTTTGGTTACAATTGTATAATTAAGCTTTACCAAAAAAGCTCTTATGTAATAGTTCTTAATTTCTTATGTAATATTTATGTTCTTATGTAACATTTACAATAACTAGTAAACCCAGCTTGGATGAAGTCCCTTCTCAGTAGGAAGCTGTGAGACATATGCAAATGCAATATACGGCTTGGAAATTTTAGTGAAAGGCCCTGATTCATCCCCACCTACTTTGATGCTAGACCGTGTCACTCAGGCTGGGGATCTTCTCACAAACAGACCTCTATGGTTGGCAGAAGGAGATAATTACCTTCAAAGGTGATAGCAGCGCCAAATCCCCAAATGACAAGACAGTGACCTAATTTAACCTCAGTTAAATTCCTGAAGCGAGGCAAGTGAATGCAGGCCAAAACCATACAATGAGCAGGAGCTGTCATTAACTGAAGACAAAGGACTGAAGTCTTGTTAGGCAAAGCAAGAGCTGTCAATAAATAGTGCTACACTTGCTCGATCTCAAAGCAAACAAGCCTGGACATTAAGGCTGGGTCATGGTTGTAAGCCAGACACCTTCATATGAGTGAGTGGAAAGAACAGTAGACAACTGAAAGAGCCTAAACCCCAGCAATGTTCTAAAAAATGGGGATATCCTCCAATGGAGCACAAGCATTAATATTAGAAGAAGAAAAGCAGCATCTGAGCTGTTCACAGCTCTAGTGTGTAGTACCCAGCTAAAATCCATTGCCAAAGACTGCTGCATATTCTGCTTCCCTGCTGCATCTAGTCAAAAAAATACATGCCTAAATTGCAGGACTTTTTTTGACAGCATACATGGGAACAAAGTGCAGTTATGAGCCAAAACCAAATGAAAGGCCAGCCAAAGTCAGAAGTTCCTTGAAACCAGGTAATTCTGCACACTAGAAAAATGCTCTTTCTTCATTTCTACAACTCTTTTTTTCAGCATGAACACCAGCAATTTCCATTCTTCTCTCCTTATTGTGTGCACAGCAAACATCGCAGGGATAATGCTTACTTACGCCTCAGGGGGGTTGTGAAGATTAATTAGTTAATGTTCTCGGTGTGTGTCAAAGATGAAAAGCTCAGTGTAAGTACTAAGCATTTGTGTATTCATAGGCACCAGAAATATGCATTCTCTACAGGAAAGAAGAAAAGCAGAACTGTTTTCTAGCTGTGTACAATTTCCAGAGGTGAAACTCTTATTCTATAGAAAGCCTACAAAATTACATTTTAATAGTTGAGATATTTAGAGAAAATATTGTATAAGACATCCAAACGTCTATTTTTGCTTTTAAGCCTGGGTGAAGAAATCATTGAAAAGCTGCTGATTCCATTAGGAGAAAAGAAAGAAAAGATGAGTTATGTTGTTTAGTGAGATTATAATGGAAATGAGGCAAAAAAAAATGTTTACTTGAACTTTATAATGCAAAGACTATTTAAGATGCTTATACCTTAAATTTTCCCCCAGGATCCTGCCACTTACCTCATTTCATACTGTTCATTTTGTATAGTAGGTCTTGATCTAAACCTTAGTAAAGGCACTGG